TTCGGCTCGCCGCTAGTGTTAAAGTCGAAATCTCGGTGTCGGGCAAGCCCTCCCGATGGCGGTGCTCCAGGCCTTGTGAGCATGTACGGTATCGCAGCTTATGCCCAGAACCTGGGCATTGTTCTCCTCGAACCGGCCGTGGAGCCCATTGCCTGAATAGGGTGTCCTTGCTGTTCAAACCAGATGTGAAATCAAGACTTAAGGAAATCACCACCGCCTTTTCGCCGCGATACTGACCGAGAGTAATCTCTCCGTGCTCCGGAGAGGGAATTAAATCCGGTCCTACGTCGCCAACTTCTGCAGCATACCACACTCCTTTGGATTACGGCGGCCAAGTAGGCCGCCAGCTCCGTGATTATAACCCACATTAAGGCAAGTTATCCTCTCCGCCACTTCAATTCAACCGTCCGCTGTTTAGCCTCTTTTGTCCCAGACCCCCTGCGCGCGGTAACAAACCGCCTTGCCTGAGCCTCATTGTATGCTATTCGGGTACAATGACAGATGACCTGTGCTGACGTTTATCCCCCCACGGCCGGTGGGCTATGGATATACCTGCACGGTAGCCATAGCCGTGTCGAGCAGGCCGAAGCTCAAGTCAGAGTCGGAGCCGCCCCACAGGCTGATAAGACGTCTCCCATCCCGGCCCGGTTTTGGCTTGGTAATGTTCTGAAAGACTTTTTCGTCGGCGCGAATTACCGCGCCTCCCTTCAACAACACCATGCAACCCTGAGCCGTGTCTCGCCAACTTGGAACAACAGATACTTGGGCATATGGAACTCCTCCTCTTACGGCTGGTATCCCTGCTCTCGCTATCGTTGGTGCACCGTCCGCGAGGAGCCGGACGAGGCCGTCGCTCAAGTGGCGAAAGGAACCCCGTATAAGGGTTCTTACGCCGACCGGAATATGGATACACCTTGATCGTGGCATTTGGGGTCGTGGCATTTGGTTCAAGGCAACGCGCGACGGCAGGCCTGGGCCGTGCAAGCTGGGACTGATTGTGCATGTCGACTGGTTGTTCAAATTTAACTCCACTTCCCAGCTCCCGCCCACAGCGATCATACTGCCCCTCGATGGTTCAATCAATGCGTTGGAAACCTGCGCGCTGTGTCATATGGCGCTCAATGGAGGTAAGTTGGTTCAGACCGGTGGCGTTTATCTTCCCGAGCTGTACTTCTGGCTCGATTCGACGCGGAAAAAAGATACCAGTGTCATCTCCCACGCCCACTCCGATCACACAGCCAGGCATCGCCGTCCCGTCGCGACCCCCAACACTCTAACTCTTACTGCTACTTCTTAGCTCCTCCGCGCTACCTGAAAAATTGCTGACCCTCGTTACTCCCCTCCCCTACGGTGATCGCTGAAGAACCAAACCCCCACAACACAGCGTCACCTTCATCCGCGGGGGCACTGTCCTGTGATCGCCCAAACTTGGTACTCCGAAATTACCGGCCACCGGCTGTTGTACACCGGAGACCTGAAGACCCGCACGAGCCCGACAAACGAACCGGCAGTACCGGTGCAGGCCGACACGCTGGTCATCGAGTGTACCTACGGTCGTCCCGAGTACGTGTTTCCGTCCGAGGAGCAGACGCTCGCCACTGCCTCCCGCACCCTGCGGGCCTGGCTGTCCAGGGGGGAACGACCGGCGGCTCTGGGCTGGCGGCTGGGGAAGGCGCAGGAATTGCTGCATCATCTGCTGTCGGACGGGTTCGAGGTGGTGGCCGAGCCAGGAATCTACCAGGCGGTTGAAGCGTACCGGGAGGCAGGCGTCGAGTTTCCGGGTAGCGTATCTGCCTATGACGGCCAATGGCCCGATGGAGCGGTAGCGCTCTTTCCCCCGGGCAAGAGACTGCGGTCTCTCAGGGGTTATCGCCATTTGAAAGACCATGGAATTGACAGGGTTGGCCGCGTCCAAGGCCCCGCACCACTGGCGCAGACCTGCCGACGCCAGTCTGCCATTCAGCGACCACGCCGACTACAACGACCTCTTGTCCTATGTGCAAGCAGTCAACCCAAACCGCATCTACACCGTCTACGGATTCCCGGAATTCGCCGCCAAGCTGCGCTCAATGGGCTACGCCGCCGTGCACCTAGACGGCAAGGGGACACCGTCCAACGCCGGCTTTCAAATGCGGATGGTGTAGGGCTTTTCGAATAGTGGATCTATCTCGGTTCTATCAGAACATCACCCCCGTCCCAAACTTGTACCGTGAGGGTACTGTTTTCGAGCAGGGCGGTGCCAACCAGCAATTCCTGTTCAGTTCCAGGAATAGGAACCTCCGCAACCCCACCACACCAATACACAGTTCCCCAATAGCGGCAAGAATATCTCAACGGCGTCCACTAGCAGGGTACGGCGGACTTCGCTTTGCACCAGTTCCGATCGTTGGACGACCTGTGCCGGTAGGGCGATAAACCCGTTAAACCCGGTGTCCAGGGCGCAATGGAAACTAAGGAGTTCTCCCTTGTAGTCCTGGATAGCGACATCGACAACAGCCTTCAGATCCCTGTTGACGTTGCCGGGCATCATGGAGCTGAACGGTCAATCCTCGTGCTTATCATCCGGTACGCAGTTGGGCGTCCTACTCTTACCGCATAGGTAATTGCATCAGGGCACCGTGCGCGTAGACGGCGGCTGGCCGCCGCGTCGCGTTTGTCTATTTCGTAATCTCCTGTATTACCGTCAATGACGATGAATTTCCCCATTTCCTGCTCAATATTGATTGATGGTTTGATGACCTCGGCGTAGATTGCCTCGCCCTTGTCCGCGATCGCCTTCGCCGCCTTTTGATCCACTGACAACTTCGTTTAACCCGCTTTCTTCTACTCGATGATTCACCCTTCACGGGCTTAACGCATCACATAGCTGATTCGGCCACGGAAAATCGTTAGGGGCGCACAACGGTGCGCCCCCAATTGATTGCCCTCAACTGACGAGTTCTTGGCTAGTCCGGCGTTGAGCCCAGGGCCGGAACGTTGGCGGTTTCGTCGGAGGCGAGCTGGCGGTTGACGGCGCTGAGGTAGGCTTTGGCGCTGGCTACGACTATGTCGGTGTCGGCGCCGCAGCGGTGATAGGATCTTGCCCGTCTTTCTCGATGCGGATGGTGGCCACGTGGCCGAGTGAGTCGACGCCCTCCCTCTGTGCCGCTGCACGTTGAAAGTCCACCAGCTGCGCTGACGATTCCGATGGCGCGGTCGAGACGGCGTTGCAGATGGCGTTGACCGGCCGTGCCACGTGGTAGCGGCGTCGCTGGATCGTGACGTTGCCCTCGGGGTCGATCAGCCGCACGGTCGCGGTGGCGATGCCGTGTCGCCGCCGCTGACTGCCACACGTGGTCAGACGGTGTAGCTGATGAGGCTCGTTGGCCTCAAACTCGATTTCGCGCTTCTTGCTGTCCATTACGATTTCCTAGTTCGTTTCGTTTTACCGTGCACTCGCGCTGTCGGTCGGCCAGCACCTTGAAGGATTCGCAGACCTTGGAGACCTCCTCGCGATTCAGGCTGTAGCCAGGGCTCGAGGCGGGACTGTGCAGGCCGAGCGCGGCCGCTGAGCTTGCCAGCACCAGTCTGTTTCCCGTCACGAAGAGCCTCCAACGCTCTCCGCTGCATCACCTCGTAGTGGCGCGGTCTTCAGCACACCGCTGGTGGGGATGCCGAGTTGCAAAGTGGCGGAACGCGTTTTCCGGCATTCGCCCACCACCGCCTTGTTGTCCTTCACCGCCTACGCCGGAGATTCGCTGACCATGCGGCTTCTCCCGGAAGGTAGATTCTGTGTGTGTCGATGCGCGATGTCCACCCCGAAGTGGTCCTTGCGGTGTCCAGGGCCATGATGATCTCTTCCTGAGAGCGTTGCCAGGCCCGTTCGCCGATGCCGTTGACTGCAGCCTCGAGCTGCCGGGCGCGGTCTCCACACGGCGCGGTGGTCAGGCTGTTGCGCGGCCAAGCACAGTCGTTGTGGTCAGTGACGCTCAGTCCACCACGTGTCTCGATGCCGGCACGTTGGCATGTGATGTCCTCAGCAACGTGGCGAAGCCGGTGGCCGACGGATGGCGTAGCCACGGTGTCGGCGATGTGTGATGGTGGTGCGCCCGGCGGATCACCTCGGTCAGCAGCATCTGTACAGGTACTCGGGTTGTGTGCGCGTCGCGTCCTCCATGGGCGAGAACTCGACACGTCGCGCAGTAGCCCTGGCTCCGCTCAACCATGGTCACGGCCATTTCGCATGACCTCTTCCCGGTTCTTGCGCAGCTGGTGGTGCATCTGCGTGGTATCTCCGAAGACGAGAGGACACGTGATGCGCTCGCTCGGAGTGCTCCACCGCACGCCAGGCCTGGTCCACGTCGTTGGGATGGGCCCGGGCCAGCGAGGCGATGATGGGGCCCTTGACCTCTTTGGCGATGTTGGACACCGCCTCGAAGTCGCCGGGGAGCTGGCGGCGAACCCGCCAATCGGATGATGTCGACTTTCACCGCTGCACAGCTTGCCGGCGGATCGTCCATCTTCTCGGCCGCCGGTCATGTCAGATGCCTGCCCGACTGCTCGCCGTCGCGGAGGGTGGTGTCCAGGAGCAGAACTTTCTCGTTAGCCATCTCTTCCTCTTCCTCAATATCCTTTCTGAATTTGGTGGTCGGAATTTCTTGTGCCGCTAACTGCGGCGTTCAGAAAGGGTTGGCAGGGTCACGCAGTCCACCACACCCAGCCCGGCCAGGACCAGCGTGCGATGGTGAACTCTCCAAAATCCTCCTGCCCTGCATAAATTTTCGCTCCTCAAGATCGGGAGAGTTCTCAGGTTTGAGAGGGGAACGCCCTCACCCTAGCCCTCTCTTCAGAGAGAGGGAAGTGCCTCGCTCCTTTACTTCGGGTCCATCCAGGGCATCATTGACCGGAGCTCCTTGCCGATGCCCTCGATGGGGCGTTTTGCGCTGCCTCGCGCATGGGTAGAAATCGCGGCGGCCTGGCCTTTCTCGCGATCCACGGCGCGGGTCGAAGGTGCCGTCCTGTATCTCTTTCATAACCGGCGCGCAATGTGCTCCGCGCACAAGTTGCCTCGTCTCGATGAATCCTGTCACGGCGGGCTGGGGAGCGCGTACTTCTCGGCGGTGTCGCGACCGATAAGTGCATGTAGTTGTGGCCGCCCTGGTCAAAATCAGGGTCGACTATCATCTTCATCTTGTTCGTGTCGAGCACGCGAAGGTAGGGCGATTTCCTTCACTGCGGGTTATCCCGGCTTCAACCAGTGTCTCGAAGGCCGCGTTCACCAGGGCCGTGACCCCGCCACAGAGAATGCTCTGCTCGCCGAACAGGTCGCTCTCGGTCTCGTCTTTTATGGTGGTCTCCAGCACGGCCGTCAACGGCCCCCGGTGCAGCGACACCCTTGGCGTAGGCCATAACCGATCTGTTTGGCGTCTCCGGTGGCGGTCCTTGTGGACTGCCGCAAGGCTGAGGGACGCCGACAACACCCTCGACTAACAGCTCGCGCATGTGGTGGCCTGGGGCCTTGGGCGCAACCATCATCACGTCCATGTTGTCGGGAAGCACGATCTCCCGGTTGTGGATGCTGAAGCCGTGAGCGACCATGAAGGCGCTGCCAGGCTATTGAGGTTGGGCTCGATCTGCTCCCGTAGATCCGGCCCTGGATGTGGTCAGGGATGACCATCATTATTACGTCGGCTTCCTTGGCTACCTCGGGCACTTCGGCCACACGGAGCCCCGCCCCTTCGGCTACGGCGATGGATGAACTGCCGGGATATAGGCCGACGACCACGTTCTGGCCGTTGTCTTTCAGATTCAATGCGTGCGCATGGCCCTGGCTGCCGTAACCGATGATTCCGATAGTCTTGCCTGAAGGACCCCTAGGTCGGCGTCCTGATCGTAGTAGACGTTTACCATCGTTGATATTTCCGTCCTTAATTTAAGTTGAGGCTGCCCGTTCCATTTGCGTTCTAAATTCCGCTGTCATTCGTATGATCAGCTGACGTACGCCCAGATTTAGATTCTCTACGGTCCATCCCGCGTTCTGTCCTCGACACATCGGCTACCAACCGGTGCGTACGGCATTTCACGTCGGTTATGCCGAAGGGCCGCAGGAGGTTTTCGAGAGCGTCTACCTTCTGCTCGCCGCCAGTGATTTCGATAACCACGTAGGTGGAACCGACATCCACAATGTTGGCGCTGAACAGCTCGGCGAACTGCATAATTTCGCCGCGGGTGGAGGGTGAGGTGGTGCCTTCAGCAGTGCCAGTTCCCGGGCCACCACTTGATGGGTTGAAATATAGGAGACCTGGATAACGTCGATCAGCTTGTATCGACGTTGACTGGGTGTCACCTGCTGACGGTGGTGAGATCCCGCTTAACTCGACCGAAGGATTCCTGCGGGGAAAAGAGGCCCTGTTTCTCGCTGCGTCCAACAGCCAGGCTGGCAATGTTGAAGCCACGCCGGCGGAACATGCTGGCGACGCGGGTCAGCACTCACGGCTTGTCCTCCCCAGGGCGGTATGTATGGTGTGCTGGTCCCCGGCGGGGTTGCGACATGCACATCCTAGTAGGGACCTCCCCGGGTTGGCTGCACCTCAATCATCTCGTGTACCGATTCGCCGGCGGGAATCCACGGATAGACCTGTTCGTCAGCCTTGACTACAAAGTCGATGATGACCGGACCGGATACCTCCATTGCGTGGCGCACGGCGTCGTCCACCTCGTCCTTGCGCGTTACCCGCATCCCGTCTATTCCGTAGGCCGCGGCCAGCTTGACGAAGTCGGGGTTGCCCGAATACTCCACGGCGAAGTACTCCCGGTCATAGAACACGTCCTGCATCTGCTTGACCATACCCAGGCTCTGGTTGTTGAGTATGGCGAACTTGATGTCGACGTTGTTCTCGACGGCGGTGGCGAGGTCGCACATGGTCATCTGGAACCCGCCGTCCCTGCTACCGACCACACGGTCTTGTCAGGACGGCCCATGCGGGCTCCCAGCGCTGCGGGCACCTCGTAACCCATCGAGCCCAGCCCGCCGGAGGTGATGAGCGTGTTGGGTTCCTTGAACCTGCAGTGCTGCGCCGCCCACATCTGGTGCTGGCCGACACCGGTTACCACGATGCAGTCGCCGCCGGACAACTCTGACAGGCGGTTGAGGACGTACTGCGGCAACAGTTCCTCAGACTCTCGGATGAACAGCGAGGGGTGCTCCGCCTTCAGCTCATCCAGCCGACGGTGCCAGTTGATGTGCACGTTGGGCTCGACCAGAGGCATCAACTGTTTCAGCACCATTTTCAGGTCGCCGACCACCGGGACCGTTGCCTTGACGTTCTTGTCCAACTCGGACGCATCCACGTCGATGTGAATGACCTTGGCGTTGGGTGCAAAATCGCGGAGCCTGCCTGTAACGCGGTCGTCGAATCGCATCCCCAGGCCGATAAGCAGGTCTGCCTGGTCGATGGCCAGATTGTTGTAGGCCATCCCATGCATGCCGGGCATGCCCATGTTCAGCACGTGTTCCGTGGGAATGGAAGTGATGCCCAAAAGCGTGGTAATGACCGGAATCTGAGCTTTCTCGGCCAGTTCAATCAACTCGTGGTAGGCCTGCGAGATCAGCAAGCCGTGTCCGGCCATGATTACCGGCCGCTGGGCTTGGTTGATGAGCTGGGCGGCGTGGGCCACCTGATTCATTGGGGCTTCGCCGGGGGGATGATAACCCGGGAGATTGGGCATTTCAGGCCAGATGAACTCGGTCCGCAGGTCCTGCAGCACGTCCTTGGGAATGTCCACCAGTACCGGTCCAGGGCGGCCAGTGCGGGCAATGTGGAAGGCCTCCTTAATGGCGGGGGCTACGTCCTCCACCTCCATGACCAGGAAGTTGTGCTTGGTGATGGGCAGCGTGATGCCGGTGACGTCCGTCTCTTGGAACGCGTCGCGGCCGATGGCGCCGCGGGGCACCTGCCCCGTGATGGCGACTATGGGCACCGAGTCCATCTGGGCGGTGGCGATGCCGGTCACCAGGTTCGTCGCTCCGGGACCGCTGGTGGCGGAGCATACGCCCACGCGGCCGGTTGCCCGCGCGTACCCGTCGGCAGCCATCGCCGCCGCCTGCTCGTGCCGCACCAGAACATGCCTCAGTTCCGGGTACTTGGCCATGGCGCCATACAGGGGCAAAACCGCACCGCCAGGCAGCCCGAAAACTAAATCCACCCCTTCCTTGAGGAGACTCTCGCAGACAATTTCAGCGCCGCTAAGGTTCATATTTCCTGCTTGAAGACCGGGTGCTGTCAGCAATCGGTCTCACCGTTAAGGCTTGGAACCGGGCAATAAAAAACACCCATCCCAACATGAAGGGACGGGTGTGGGCCCGCGGTACCACCCTTCTTTTCCGATACTAAACGGCCCTTATTAGTTTACGGGCCGCACGGTTCGGAACTGCTTTCTGACTCTGTAACGGTGTCACCCGCCGCGCCCTGCTTCCCCAACCCAGTTGGGGTCATCAGGCGGGCCGCTCCCGGGCGAGTTCGCGACGCTACTGCTACCGGCTCGCACCAACCGCCGGCTCTCTGTTACAGGCCATCGTTACTGCTCCCGCTCTTCGCAGAATTCGTACTGGAAATCCTATCAGTCACCCCCTGGGGTGTCAACGATATTCAGCCCGGATCTGACGCAATCGCATTTGGATATCCAGATGACATTTGCCGCTTGCCAAGCCCTTCGGACTTCGATATCATAGGATCATGTGTTCTATAAATAGTGCTCTATCCCTGTTCCGGCCTCACTGCGCCCCGGCTGGTGTCAGCCGACAGCCGCAGAGGCATGGCCTGCCCAAACGCCAGGAAAAGCAGGAATGGGACACAATGGGACCGAATTTGAAAATCCTTGTCCCACTGCAGTGGCGCAGATAGGAAATAACGCGAAATAGCGGGCAAAATGGGAAAATCTGGGAAATTATGGGAACGCGTGGGGAAAATTCTGTCCCCTTTTTCCCGCTCAATCTCCTCATCCACTTCACGGCCGCCCGCCCCGGATAGCTGCACTCGATTCCCTGCGCAGACACCGGATCCCTCCGGCCAAATGCGATAGCCCTGGCCCAGATCTGGACATGAATTTTTCTCCAATCCAAACAGATGGCCGGATGGATTCCTTCCTTGTCCGGACGGCAGCCTCTACCAACGCAGCCCGAGTAATCTTCCCACACGGACGGCCCTTTCAACCTGGCGCAGCCCGAGTAATCGTCCTACTCGGACGCGCCCTTCAACATGGCGCAGCCGGTGAAATCTTTCCACACGAACGGCCCTTTCAGCAACGGCCCTTTCAACCTGGCGCAGCCCGAGTAATCGTCCTACTCGGACGCCCCCTTCAACATGGCGCAGCCGGTGACGCCCAGCATCAGAGGCAACAAGGTGTCAACCACTGCCCAGATTACCCAGGCCTGGTGATTGCCTTCAAGGCTGTCCGAGCCGTTGTAAATGAAGGAAAACCAGCTGTGCAGGAACAGGATGGTTATGCCCGCTGTCAGAAAAAAGCTGTATTGACCTCCAGGTATCGGCGGCTGATGGGCTCGCCCGGTGCCCTTCCGTCTTCCCTCCGCTTCCTGTCATAGTTGAACACGATGGCTACGGCCAGCCCTATTGCCATTAGTATGTCCAGCACAAACCATATATCTGACACGTTCAACGAATTGACAAAGAATGTGTTGATAATGAACCAGATTGCAACAACGGTGGCGACTCCCAGCAGGTACATCCCAGACAATTTCTTGATCCCTTCCATCGTAACCTCCCTGATATCCGAATCGAGGCGGCTAGGCCCTGCCCTGGATTGGGCGCCTTTGCACCGGGGTCAAAATGGACCTCAGCGCATATATTCTGACACTTCCTTATGTTAAAATTGGTGCCTGCGAGACCCCGGTTCCTTGCGATTTTCCGTACTTCCCGCCTAAAGTGCGATATGGATTTGCCCAGTGTCTGAGAGCATTCTCGTCGCCGTAGCATGGCCCTATGCCAATGGGCCCCTGCACCTTGGGCACGTGGCCGGGTGCTACCTTTCTGCCGACATTTTCGCCCGCTATCACCGCCTGAAGGGCAACCGGGTGCTGATGGTCTCCGGGAGCGATACCCACGGCACTCCCATAACGATCCGCGCCGATCAGGAAGGAATCACTCCCGCCGAGGTCGTGGATCGCTATCACGCCCTGTTCCTGGAGTCGTGGGAAAAGTTGGGTATCTCCTTCGACCTCTTCACTCACACCAACACCGAAAACCACGAGGCCGTCACACACGACATATTCAAAAACCTGCTGGACAAGGGCTACATCTATACCGACAACATGCTTCTGGCGTACTGTGGCCAATGCGTCCGCTTCCTGCCGGACCGCTATGTCGAGGGGATCTGCCCCCACTGCGCCAACACCCGAGCCAGGGGCGACCAGTGTGATGCCTGCGGGCGCACTTTGGACCCCCGCGACCTCGTGGAGCCCCGTTGCGCCCTCAGCGGAGATACCCCGGAATTCCGTGAGTCTGAGCACTTTTTCCTCCGCCTCTCCGCGTTCCAGGAGCCGCTGTTGGAGTGGGTCAACAAGCAGTCCCATTGGCGCGCCAACGTGCTCAATTTCACTCGCCGGTTCCTCGAGGACGGACTGCACGACCGGGCCATCTCTCGCGACCTCGATTGGGGAGTACCAATCCCGCTTGAAGGCTACGACTCCAAGAAAATCTACGTCTGGTTCGAGGCGGTGATAGGTTATCTGTCCGCGGCAGTGGAGTGGGCCAAGATTCACGGAGAGCCAGAAAGCTGGCAGGACTTCTGGAAGGACCCCAAGAGCCGCTCCTACTACTTCATTGGAAAGGACAACATACCCTTCCACAGCATCATCTGGCCGGCCATGATCATGGCCTATGGGCACGACCTGAACCTGCCCTACGACGTGCCGGCCAATGAGTTCCTGAGCCTGCAGAACCAAAAGTTCTCCACTAGCCAGAACTGGGCCGTCTGGGTGCCCGACTACTTGGAGCGATACGATCCCGATCCCCTCCGCTACCTCCTTTCGGTGAACATGCCGGAATCAGGAGACTCCGACTTTTCCTGGGGCGAGTTCGTACGACGTAATAACGAGGAACTGGTTGCGACCTACGGTAATCTCGTCAACCGTGTTCTGACCTTCGCTTACCGGAATTTCGATGGCCGCATCCCCACGCCGGGGGCGCTGGACGAGGTCGACCAGGGGCTTCTGGATACGGCCCGCGCGGCGATGGCTGAAGTGGACGCGAGCCTCGACGCATGCCGGTTCAAGGCCGCAATCTCGCGCATATTCGCCCTCGCCCAGGACGCCAACCGCTACCTGGATGCCAAGGCTCCTTGGCGCAGCATCAAGGAAGACCGCGAGTCCGCAGCCACCAGCCTGTGGGTCGCTATCGCAGCCATAAACTGCCTGAAGACACTGCTGCACCCGTTCATGCCGTTCAGTTCTCAGCGCCTCCACGAGTTCCTTGGTCAGGAGGGCCGTGTTGAGGACGGAAGCTGGAACTTCGAAGCTGCCGTCGCAGCAGTCGCCGGAGGCCGCGAACTGCAGCGCCCGTCCCCTCTGTATACCAAGCTGGAGCCTGAGGTCGTCGATCAGGAAGTTGCCCGCCTGGGCATTTCAGCCGGTTAAGGACACCTTCGGCCCGATGCCTTACGGACTGGACGAACGCACAGCGGCTATCTACGCCCCGATTCAGGCGGAGCTTGCCATGGTCGATGAGAAGCTCCGCAGCCTGGCTCCCGCGGAGGTTGGTCACCTGCGTCCCCTGCTGGACTACGTAGCCGAAACCGGCGGCAAACGGGTCCGTCCCGCCAATTCACCTGTGTGCAGGCTCAATTCCAATCCCCACACGATCCAGCCAAGCTGGTGCTGATGGCCGGCGCCGTCGAGCTGTGCATTGGCCATCCTGATCACGGACGATACTGTGACGAATCTCCCTAACCGCCGCGGCCGCGGCCACGTGGGTGGTAGAGTGTGGGAAACCAGGTTGCGGTTGCTTTTAGGATGGGACTACGTCTCGCAACTCGCCACGTCGTATGCGTATTCACCGACAGCATTCGAATCATGCGACGCTTTTCCGAGACCATCATGGATCTGGCCAGCGGTGAGTTGATCGAATATTTCGGCGCCTTCGACGCCAGCCAGGCCCGCGAGGTCTACAACGACCGCATTTATCGTAAAACCGCCTCCCTTTTCTGTACCGCAGGCGAGTCGGGAGCCCTGCTCGCGGGCGCAAACGAGGAAGAGGTCCAAGCCCTTCGCCGCTACGGATACAACATCGGCATGGCCTACCAGGTCGGTGACGACCTGCTGGACTTCGAGGGCGACGCGACCGACCTGGGAAAGCCGGTGGGTTCCGACCTGCTACACGGCGTCCTGACCCTGCCGACGACTATGCTGGAGGAGCGCTACCCAGGCGATAAGCCTGTTTCGTCTCTGTTCCAGGACCGGGACAACCCTGCCAAGCTGCAGCGGGTCGTGGACATGATTCACAATGCCTCCATCATCCACGACTGCGAAAATGTGGTGCGGGATTATTGCGACCGCGCCTCCGACGAGTTGAAGACCCTCCCCAAAGCAGAAGCCCGGCAATCCCTCCAAGACCTGGCCGAGTACATCTTCGACCGCCGCCGGTAACCCAAAAGTGGACCGCGACGCGATAGCACGCCTTGACGTAATCCATGGGCCTTGGCTACACTCTCGCTATCCCAGCGCCCGGTTCCCTATTTGAAACAATCGATTTGCTTGCCTTGGAGCTGAATTCTATGTGCGGCGTAAGTGGGATTCTCCACAAGTCCCTGGCCTCAGGCGGCTTGGCGCCGGTGGGTTCTCAGCTCATTCGGATGCTGGAGCCGATGACCCACCGCGGCATGGACTCCAGCGGCGTCACCATCGTCGGCGAACACCCCGAGGGCGACCTCCTCGTGCGCATCTGGACCGAGAGCGTCCGTGAGGCGGCTGACGTACTTGCCAGCGCCGAAGACACCGTGCGCCAGGTGGGTGGCGTCGTGTGTTCCAGCAGACATACCGGTCAGTTCCTGCGGTTGGCGGTGAACTTCGAAGGCGAGACCGGAACTGGCGGCGGCCCTGTTGGAGACGCCGGGTGTTGCTCTCCACAGCATTGGCCGCACTTCCGAGGTGATCAAGGATGTCGGAACGCCAGTGGCCATGGACCAGCGACACGACGTCGCAGCCATCCGCGGCACCCACGGCATCGGCCACGTGCGTATGGCAACCGAGAGTCGTGTCGACGTGAACCACGCCCACCCGTTCTGGGCCTATCCGTTCCCGGACGTATCGGTGGTGCACAACGGCAGCTCACCAACTACCACAAATTGCGCCGCATGTACGAGGACCAGGGACACCACTTCCAGACGGGTAACGACTCCGAGCTGATCGCCGTCTACCTGGCCGACAAGCTGGCGCAGGGAGAGGGGCTCGAGGACTCGCTGCGGGCTTCCCTTGTGGATCTGGACGGTACGTTCACTTACTTGGTCGCCACACGGGAGGGATTGGGATACGCCAAGGACGAGTGGTCCGCCAAGCCGCTGGTTACCATGGAGACCGACGACATTATCGCCATAGCGTCCGAGGAGATTGCCCTACGAGGTATCCTGCCCCCTGAGATGGCCGGCGAGGAAATTGATCGGCTGGAACCCCAGAAGAGCGAGGTCATGACCTGGCTACTATAGACGCCGCCGAACTGGACACCAGGGCCTTCAACGTCCAACTGAAAGAGCTGGCCACGCCGGGCAGTGATATAACGGTGCTGCATCCAAATGCCCGGCACAATCTCGGCGTGGGCATCTTCGAGGACTGCAACATTCGTTTCGCCGGCAGCGTCGGGTACTACGCCGCCAGCCTGCTGGACGGGCCCGAGGTTGTGATTGAGGGCAATGCGGGCTGGGCAGTCGGCGACAATATGATGAACGGCAGGATTACGGTCGCCCGGGATGCCGGCGCCTCAGCCGGTTCCACCATGAGGGGCGGCGAGCTCTTCATCGGTGGCGATGCCGGTGCCAGGGCCGGTATCTCCATGAAGGGCGGGTCCCTGGTCATCGGAGGAAACGCGGGTTTCCTAACCGGGTTCATGATGCAGAAGGGCCGGATCATTATCTGCGGAAATGCCGGTGAGGCACTGGGCGACTCCATGTACGAGGGGACAATATACGTAGCGGGAAATATCGCCTCCCTGGGGGCTGATGCCACGGTCGAGGAAATGACCGAGGACGAACTCATCGACGTGCTGGCGACCCTCGAAGCCCGCGGCATTACCAACAGGCGCAGCTTTACCAAGGTCGTGTCGGCCAAACGTTTTTACAATTACGACTCTCTGGAAAGGTTGGAGAAATCGGCGCTCTGAAGACAGGGAACGATTCCTGGCAATCACTGGGTTAGAAAGGCGGACGATCCGAGAGGGGGACAGACTACTTCTATGGTAATGGGCAGCAGCCAGATCTGGTCTCCTTGGATCATGGACGACATACATGCAAAGGCTGAGTTGGGCCGCTATCGTATCCGTGGCTTCTCCTCCTTTCAAAAGGTCACTCACTTCGACGACTTGACCTTCCTTTCCACCGGGCTGACCCGTTTTCCGCTGGAGGGCTACAAGGAACGGTGTAACACCCGTACCGTCATCGGGGCCCGCCACGCCGAAAACCCCCTCATTCTCGAGACCCCTGTCTACATCAGCGGAATGAGCTACGGTGCGTTGTCGGCCAACGCCAAGGTGGCGTTGGGCAAGGCCGCAGCCATGGTAGGCTCAGCCAGTTGCACCGGCGATGGCGGCATGCTCCCCGGCGAGCGGGCGGCCTCCGAGAAGCTGATCTACCAGGTGCTGCCCAGCAGGTACGGATTCAATCCCCATCACCTTGTCGATGCCCAGGCCATCGAAATCGTGGTTGGCCAAGGAGCCAAGCCGGGGACAGGCGGCATGCTCATGGGCGTTAAGGTCCAGGACGACGTGGCCGAGATGCGCGACCTCCCCCTTGGCATCGATCAGCGCAGCCCGGCCCGCCATCCTGACTGGCTTGGCCCAGACGACTTGGCAATTAAGATCGAACAGCTGCGTGAGGCCACCGACTGGCGGGTCCCGGTCCACGTCAAGCTGGGTGCCTGCCGGGTCGACGATGATGTGAAGCTGGCCGCCAAGGCCGGCGCCGACGCCATCGTAATCGACAGCATGATGGCCGGGAACCGGAGCTTCCGCCGAGGTATTGCTGGAGCACAGTGGGATTCCGACCGTTCCCGCCATCGTCATGGCCCGCGAGGCCTTGCGGGAGTTGGGTCTCTATGGCAAGGTTAGCCTGATCGCCTCAGGAGGCATCCGCGGTGGCGCCGACGCCGCCAAGGCCTGGCCCTCGGTGCCGATGCCGTGGCCATAGGTCTGGGCGCGCTGATCGCCCTGAACTGCAACAAGGAGATCCCTGAGAGCAACTTCGAGGAGGAAGTCGGTGTCCCTGCCGGGTACTGCCGCTTCTGCCATACGGGCAAGTGCCCCGTCGGGATCGCCACGCAGGACCCTCTGCTCATGAGCCGGCTGGACCCCGACGAGGGTGCGGAACGAGTTGCAAACTTTATCAACTCAATGACTATGGAGATGACCTTGCTCACCCGGTCGCTGGGCAAGGGCGACGTCCACAGCCTGGAACCGGAAGACCTCGCGCCCTGACCCTGGAAGCCTCGGCCATGGCCCGCGTGCCGCTGGTCGGAACCAACAAGGTATTCGGCGAATAGGCGGTTTGTCGAACTCATGGTGATGCGGTTCTTCAACCCCGATCCTGAACTGGACCGCTACAGGGGCGCGCTCCTTGGGCTGGCTGTGGGAGATGCCCTGGGTGTTCCCGTGGAATTCATGCGCCCCGGCACTTTCGATCCCATTACCGAGATGGTAGGTGGCGGCCCCCACGGTCTCATGCCCGGTGAATGGACCGATGACACTTCAATGGCCCTCTGCCTTGCGGAGAGCTTGATCGAACGTCAGGGTTTCGACGCTGTCGACCAGTTGCAGAGGTACGTGCGGTGGTGGCGCAACGGCCACCTCAGCAGCACCGGATTGTGCTTCGACATCGGCATTACCACCCAGGCCGCGTTGGAAAGCTTTCAGTCCACGGGAGAACCGGCGGGACTGACCTCTCTCGACAGCGCCGGAAACGGCTCGATCATGCGCCTGGCGCCAGTCCCAATGTTTTACGCCCTGAGCATGCCAGATGCTGTTGAATTCGCGGCCCGGAGTTCGGCCACAACCCATGCTTCCGAAGAGGCTGTCAGCGCCTGCCGCTACCTGGCTGCCGTTATCGTCAAAGCCCTGTGGGGGTCCAGCAAGGAGGAAATCCTGGCACCCGCAGTAACCGATGAACTGTCCGATGGCGTAAAGAGGGTCGCCTTTGGTTCTTTCCGCATTTTCAGCCCCCACAAATCAGGGGCAGTGGCTACGTGGTTGAATCGCTGGAGGCCGCGCTTTGGGCGTTCCACAACAGTGACAGCTTCGCCGACGGCCTCAGTATGGCGGTGAACCTTGGCGAGGACTCAGACACTACTGGTGCGGTTTACGGACAGGTTGCCGGCGCCTTTTACGGCGCCCACACCATACCGCAGAAGTGGCTGAACACCCTGGCGCACAGAGATCTGATCATCGACTTTGCTGACCGGCTGTACGATCTGAGGCCTTTGTCTTAACCAGCCACCCCGTAATCACGGAAACCGGGCTTCCAGGACGAATCGCCAGGTATCCTCAACACCCCAAAGAAGGAGCGCGCGGCATGACCGGCAGGGAAGAAATCGCCCAGCGCATGGACGCCGACGGCATCCGCTTTTTGCTGACCCAATTCGTCGACCTCAACGGGTCACCAAAGGCCAAGATGGTGCCCGTTGAGCACTTCGAGGATGTGCTGGACGAGGGCGCCGGATTCGGGGGGGCCGCCCTTATTGGGATGGGTCAGGGCCCGCACTCCCACGACATGATGGCCCGCATCGATCTCGATTCGTACACTCCCGTCCCTTGGGACGAAGGCCTCGCCCGTTTCGCCAGCGATTTGTTCGTTGACGGCGAACCCCACCCTTACTGCCCACGGCAGCACTTCAAGTCCCTGCTAAATAGTGCGAGAGCAGAGGGCTACGTCTTTAACGTCGGCATCGAGCCCTGAGCATTTTCTCGTAACCAGAAACGACGATGGATCCATCAAGGTATGGGACCCCAACGATATAGACAGCCTTCGCAAGCCCTGCTATGACTTCAAGGGGATCGCCAACGTAATGGGCTATCTACGGGACATGATGACCGGCATGCGCCGCATCGGCTGGGATGCCTACCAGTCCGACCACGAGGACGCCAACGGGCAGTACGAGATCAACTTCCACTACTCTGATGCGCTGACTACCGCCGACCGGTACACCTTCTTCAAGATGATGACCAGCCAGTACGCCCAGAGGTACGGGGCCATCGCCACGCACATGGCCAAGCCTTTCACCGACAGGACCGGCAGCGGCGGCCACATCCACTATCACATCGCCGATTCTGAATCCGGCGAGAACCTGTTCCTGGACGAGGACGACCGGCGAGGGCTCGGGCTTTCGGAGATGGCCTACCACTTCATCGGCGGCATCTTTGCCCACGCTCCCGCCCTCTGCTCCGTGATGTCCCCCACCGTCAACTGCTACAAGCGCCTGCAGGTTGGACCGGCGCTCTTTGGTTCCTCTTCAGGATTCCTGTGGACCCCGGCCTTCGTCTCCTACGGCGACAACAACCGGACGCAGATGATACGTACCGCCGGCCCTGGTCACCTGGAAGACCGCACCATGTCCGCCGCCTGCAACCCCTACCTGGCCTTTGGGGCTTATCTCACGGCCGGCCTTGACGGCGTGCGCCGCAGGCTCGATCCCGGTGAACCCAACCTGGGCAACCTGTATGAACTTGGGCTGGAGGAAATTCGCCGCCGCGGCGTTCGGATGCTCCCCCAGTCCCTGGCCGAGTCCCTTGCCGAACTGAAGGCCGACTCAGTCGTGAGCGACTCCCTCGGCGTAATATATGATGAGTTCGTAACCCAGAAGGATGCCGAATGGCGAGAATACCACCGTCAGGTCACCCCGTGGGAAATCGAGCGCTACCTCACCATGTTCTAGGTTGGAGCTAGACCCAGGAGTGTCCTTTCTCCTGAAATGCCCCAACTGCGGCGAACGCAGCGTTAACGAGTTCCGCTTCGGCGGGGAGGTCGTGTCACGTCCGGCTCCCGGCGACCCGGCCGAGGCGTGGAGCAGCTATTTCTACTTCCGCCCCAACGTGGCAGGAGTGCAGCGGGAGTGGTGGAATCACCGCTACGGGTGCCGGCGATGGTTCTATGCCCTGCGTGAGACAACCAGCAAACACAGTCCAGACGACCTATTCGCCCGGCGAGCAGCCTCCTGTAGTAGCTCCCTGAGGCCGCCCCTCTGAACCCCTATCAAGGCAGGGATATCCCACCAACGAAAACCAACGCCGGTCCCGTATCGAGCCGAGCTCGGGAGCGGCCATCGACCGCAATGCTCCCGTGGAGTTCGAATTCGACGGGAGAGTGATTCATGGATATAACGGCGACACCATAGCCTCGGCCCTATACGCTGGGGGCACGCGCGTTTTCAGCCGTAGTTTCAAGTATCACCGGCCCCGTGGACTCCTGTGCTGCGCGGGAAACTGCCCCAACTGCCTTGTAACCGTGGACGCTGAACCGAATGTCCGCGCTTGCACGCGGCCGATAGTGCCCGGCATTAAGGTAAACAGCCAGAACGCCTGGCCCTCCCTTCGCTTTGACCTGATGTCGGTGTTGGACCGAATGCACTGGCTCATGCCCGTGGGCTTCTACTACAAGGCCATGCACCGTCCCAAGGCCCTGTGGTTGCTGGCTCGCCAGCTCATCCGCCGTGTTGGAGGACTGGGAAGCATCGACATCAATGCGGCGCATGACCACGAGTTCAGCAGCCGCAATATGCACACTGATGTCGCCGTCGTGGGCGGTGGCCCTGCGGGAATGTCAGCAGCACTGTCGGCTGCAGGTGCGGGCGAACGGGTGGTGCTGATCGATGACCAGCCGGGTCTGGGCGGCCACCTCCGATACAGCCGGCAGTCCGCCACCGAACGCGACAATGGACAGTCAAATTCCGCTTCGGACGTGACCTGGGAACTGGCCGACGCCATAGAGCAGTCGCCGAACATCGCTGTACTGACCCGCACCACGGCCTTCGGACTGTATCAGGACAACCTGCTGGCGATCCTTACAGAGGAGGGTGTAGTCCGGCTGCGGGCGGGACACGTGGTCCTAGCCACTGGAACCCAAGAAACCCCGCTGCTATTCGAGAACAACGACCTTCCCGGTATAATGCTCGCCTCTGCAGCCCGCCGCCTCATGTCGCTGTACAGCGTACGCCCTGGGCAGGAGGCGGTCGTTGCCACCGAAACAGCCGAGGGTTACGAGGCCGCGCTGGAATTGCTGGACGCCGGGGTTCGGGTTGCCGCCGTGGTTGACGACTCCGAAACTGCATCTACCGAGGCGGCGGAAGCCGTACGCGACAGGGGCGTCGAGGTGTTGACGGGGCACCGAGTGATTAGGGCCACTGGTCGAGGCAGGGTAAAGGCAGCAGTCATAGCCTCTGTAGATGGAGCGGGACCCCAAGCCACCCGCAGAATCCGGTGCGACCTGCTCTGCATGTCGGGCACTCACCAGCCCGTCAACGCTTTGCTGCACCAAATGGGCGCGTCCCAACCCGGAGTAACCTGGCTGGTGGAGCCAATGGCGCAATGTCTTTGGATGAGACTATCCGTCAAGGAACGGAGGCCGGTAACCGGGCATCGGGGGCGCGAATGGTTTCCTCCGACGAGACGGTTCATTCCGACGTCGGGCTGGCTCCCACAACCGCATTCCCAATCAGTCAGGGCGGGCGCTCCTTCGTCTGCTACTGCGAGGACGTTTCGGCCCACGACATCGCGCAGGCCATCGACGAAGGGTTCGCCGACATCCAGACCCTGAAACGGTACACGACGGTAACCATGGGGCCCTGCCAGGGCAAGATGTGCGGGCACGCTCTGTCCAGCATCTGCGCCTCTCACATTGACGCTACCAATGAGGATGGAACCAGGGACTCTTACACCACCTCCCGCCCACCCTACCAGCCGATCACCCTCGCCGCTCTCGCCGGGCGCGAACGGATGCCCTTAAAGCGAACGCCCCTGGATCGCATCCATCGCGACCTCGGCGCCAGGATGGTCGAGTCCGGCCCGTGGCTGCGCCCCCACAGCTATGGCTCGGCCGCCGACGAGTGCATTGCCGTCCGTGAGCGGGTCGGCATCATCGACGTTGGCACCTTGGGTAAGCTTGAGGTCGTTGGAAAGAACGCTGGGCAACTGCTAGACCGTCTCTACACCCACCGTTTCTCCGATCTGGACCTCGGCCGCATCCGCTACGGCCTTATGACCTCCGACAACGGTGTCATCCTCGACGACGGGACGGTAACGCGCCTGGCCGAGGACCGATACTTTGTAACCACTACCTCAGGCAACGCCGACGTTATAGAGGAGTGGTTCAACTGGTGGAACGCCGGGGCGGGCAACTGCGCCCACGTAGTAAACGTTACCGCCGCATTCGGCGCGGTGAACGTCGCCGGACCGAAGGCCCGTGAGACGCTGGCCAGGCTCACGGACATCGACCTTTCTACCAAGACCTTCCGGTACATGCGCTCTGCGCAGGGCGAAGTTGCCGGCGTTCCCTGCCTGCTGCTCCGCATCGGATTCGTTGGCGAGGCCGGGTGGGAGGTCCACTTCCCCGCGGAGTATGGCGAGCACGTCTGGAACTCCATCATGGACGCGGGACGGGATTTCGGAATCTCCCCCTTTGGCCTCGAGGCGCAGCGTGTACTGAGGCTGGAGAAGGGCCACGTCATTGTTGGCCAGGACACCGACGCAGTATCCACTCCCATGGACGTCGGGTCGGATTGGGCGGTTCGTTTCGACAAGCCCGACTTCATCGGCCGTGGCGGTCTGGTAGTTGCCTCCCAACGAGGTCTGCAGCAGCGTCTGGTCGGTTTTGTTATGCCGGGCACAACCGCTCCCGAGGATGGCACTCCCGTGCTGAGCGGGCACCAGGCAGTCGGCCGCGTGACCAGCGCGCGCCTCAGCCCAACCTTGAAGCGCGGCTTCGGTTTGGCATGGGTACCGCCGTATCTGGCTGTCGAAGGAGAGACCATTGAGGTGCTGGTCGCAGACCGCCCCGTCTCCGCCCGTGTAACCCTGGAGCCGGTCTACGATCCTGAAGGCCACCGGCTGCGGAGTTGATTATGGTTTCCGCACCACCGGAAAGACGAACGGCCATGTACCATAGCCAGTTGGCCATGGGAGCTGTCATGGCCGACGCCGACGGCTGGCAGCTGCCCGTCCAGTACGGAGACGCTGTTCAGGAGGCGGCTTATCTCCGCGAGACCGTTGGAGTCTCCGATGTCAGCCCCTTGGGCAAAGTCAGGGTGGTTGGCGCGGACGCTTCTCAGGCCGTCGCGGTACTGCTGGCCAAAGCCACGGAGCAGACGGTCGGCACTGTATCCGAGGCCGGCTCCGCCTTCGAAGGCGGGGGAAAGCTGTTGTCTGCCTGCTTGGCTCCCGATGAATTCCTGGTTCTGACGCCCACCGGAATGGCCTCTTCTGCGTCAAACACAATCCAGTCAAGCGACCCTGTGTGCGCCCACGCCGTCGACGTAACATCCGGCCTCTGCGCCGTGTCGCTGGTCGGCCCGGCCACCCACGACCTCCTTAGCCGAATCACTGAACTGGACGCATCACCTGCCGCCCTGCCGGACCTCTCCTGCGTCCAGTCACGCTTCAGTGACGTGCAAGGGCTTCTGGTCCGAAGAGACGTCAACGGCATCCCCATATACCATCTCTACGCCAGCCGGGAATTTGGCGAATACCTCTGGGAGGCCCTCATCGACTCCGCCAAAGAGGTCGGAGGCGGCCCGGCAGGAACCGACGCCCTGTTGGGCCTTCGAGAACGAGATTAAGGGCCGGGCATAGAGCAGTGTTCCACTATTCAAAAAAATCGAATGTGGCAAACCCGCCCCCTCAAAGACCGTTACCGTGTGGTCATCATAGGCGGGGGCGTGCACGGGCTTTCCACCGCCTACTACCTCACCAAGCTGGGCGTCACAGACATCGCCGTGCTCGACAAGGGCTATCTTGGCGGTGGCGCCAGCGCCCGCACCACTGCCATCATCCGCTTCCAACTACCTCACGCTCGAGGGTATCCCGTTCTTCGACCAGAGCGTGAAGCTCTACGAGGGTTTGGCCAAAGAACTGAACTTCAACATGCTCTTCAACCAGATGGGACGTTTGGATCTCGGCCACACCGACGCCGCCCCTTACGCCCTGCGGATGCGCACCGAGTTCATCAACACGTATTTCTCGGCTCGGATCCACAGTGGACAGCCAGGATGATCAGGCCTCGGGCTGAAATCACGCAGGCTTGGTCTCCGTCCTGAGCCTGCGGAGGATGCCCGTGATGATATCTCGATCATGGGCGCCCTGTACCATCCGCCCTGCGGCGTGATCCGCCACGACGCGGTGGTCTGGGGATTCGGCCGTGGCGCTGACCGTGGCGGCGCCGAGCTTCATCCCTTCACCGAGGTCACCGCCATCGACCGCGCCACGTTGTCGTCACGCGTCGTGACCAGCCGAGGTGGTTTCGGTCGTTCGTCGTCGCAGCTGAGGTCGTGCTGAACGCCACCGCCGGCTGGGCAGCGGGGCGCTAGCTCGCCGGTCTCGGGGTGGACTTGGCCCATCACCCACCCACCACTCCAGGCATGGCTCACCGAATCGCTGAACCGACCCTTCTGGACAGACCATATCGTCGGCCAACCTCCACGCCTATGTCTACCAGACCGACCGCGGTGAGGTCGTAATCGGTGGCGGTGTGGACCCCTATCCCTCGTACAGCATGAAATCTGCGCTGCTGCCCATGGAACAGCTGGCCGGCCATACGCTCGAGATGTTTCCCTGCCTGTCCAAGGTTAAGGTACTCCGTCAGTGGGCCGGCCTGTGCGATATGCACTCCGGCGATACGGGACGCTCATAATGGGCCCCGTTGACGGACTTGATGGCTTCATCGTGTCCTGACGGCTGCAGCTGTGTCTTCAGGCCGCGCGAGCCGCAGCAAGAACATGCAGCTTTCTCGTCGAGCGCCACCGGGAAACTCTACCACGACCTGATCAAACCCTTCGCCCTCTCCCGCTTCCACGAGGGCAAGCTGGTAAACGAACGGGCCGCCGCTCCCGCCGCCGCCATCCACTAGGCGAATTGAATCAGAGATTATTGCTCCCGCAGAACGATTCCGCTCCTGGAGGTTGAGCGTGTGATGAATCTCAGGACCACGATCCCTCTGAACGTCAACAACGGAGGTCCGCCATGAGCGAGGAGATCTTCTACTCCGATGCCGCCACCTTGGCCCGCCGTATCCGTGAACGGTCGCTTTCCCCGGTTGAGGTGATGCAGGCCCACCTCGACCGCATTGAGTCGGTCAACCCCACGCTGAACGCGCTCGTCGCCTTCCCTGATGGCGTCATGGACCAGGCACGGGAGGCCGAGGCCGCCGCCATGCGAGGCTGAGTACAGAGGTCCACTGCACGGGGTCCCTTTCACCGTCAAAGACTGCGTGGATACCGAGGGCGTGGTCACCACGCGCGGCTCCAAACTCTTCGAGGACCACGTCCCGGAGACCGACGCTACGGTTGTAAGGCGCCTCAAGGACGCCGGGGGCATCTTCATCGCCAAGTCCAACATGCCAGAGTTCGCCCTGTGGTGGGAGACTGACAACCTGGTTTACGGCCGCACGGAGAATCCGTGGATGATCGGCCGCACCCCCGGCGGCTCCAGCGGGGGAGAGGCCGCCGCCGTTGCCTCAGGCATGTCGCCACTGGGCATCGGCAGCGACGTGGGCGGTTCAATCCGGGAGCCTGCCAACTACTGCGGCATCGTCGGACTCAAGGCCACCCACGGGCGAATCCCGCTCACCGGGCACTGGCCGACACCCTGCTTCGCTTTATGCATGTAGGGCCAATCGTGCGGAGTGTGGAAGACGCCGCCCTCGCGTTAAACTTGATGGCTGGTCCCGACGGCGTAGACCACTATGCCATGCCCGTTCCTGTGCCGGATGTTTCGGAATTCACGGCTCCGGCCGGCCTGCTCCTGCCTGAGGGTCGCCTGGTGCCCCGAGGGACCTTCGCGCACGTAGTAGCCTTTGGGACGTGTAGTGCACGAATTACGGTCGCCACCCGTTCCGGCACCGCCCTGGGCGAACTGGGTTGCGCCGTCGAGCAAGTTGGGCTGGAGGGCTGGGCGAGCTGGCCCGGTCAACAAATTTCTGTTCTGCCCGCATCTCTACTTCGCTGCGCCGACGGAGGGCACCAGTAGCACTCGATCCCATAATCGAGGGCCGCAAGGAACTGTGCCCTTCTGTCTCAATACTGCAGACGCTGTCGCCTGATGCATCCTCGGGCGTCCAGTTACGACGAATACCTGGAGGCCATGGAGCAGAGTGGAGCAACTGCGTGCTGCCTGCATCAAGCTGTTCGGCGAATACGACGTATTGCTCCTGCCCACGGGTCCGGTGGTTGCGCATCCCCACGACACCCGCCGCCACGAGGTCGGTGGCGAGACTGCGCCGGCCCGGCATGCTCTATCCTGCACCATACCCTTCGACCTCACCGGCTCCCCAGCCCTGTCAGTGCTCTTCGGCATGAGCAGCGCCGGCCTGCCTATCGGCGTTCAGATTGTCGGGCCTTGCCCATCACTACGCAGTGAAGCCTACCATACTGCCGCTTGCGGGTGCTGCGTCTTGACTTGATGGAGCTCTCTATCGCGCCCCGCCAGAGCCGGCCGCCCTCCGTTGTAACCCCCCTCTGCAGGCTGGGAATTGACCTCTGGTACCGGCCGGGGCCTTTGCTGCGAGTGCTCCTTGTGCTGATGTATATGCAGGCCGTGTCTCGTCGCCACTCTCTGCCACTCCTGTAAGAAGGATTGAAAAGGCAAAATCCCGAATGGGCCCCTGTTGCCTGCCTTCAGTGCTCGCCGTTTGGCACGCATCGCTGTTATGGAGAAAACAAGGAGTCCAATCGCCTCCTCTGTGGTAAACTTCGCCACAGTTACCAGCCAAAACGACGAAAGACAATGGAGGTAGAGGAATGCCTGAATACGACCTCGTAATCCGTGGCGGCACTGTGATCGACGGCACTGGCATCCCCCGAGTCCGAGCTGATCTTGCCATCAAGGATGGTCGGGTGGCCATGATCAGCGGGCGCATCAACGGTGCCGGTGCGAAGGAACTGGACGCCAGCGGCTGCATCGTCGCCCCAGGCGCTGTGGACCTGCACACCCACTATGACGCTCAGCTCAACTGGGACCCCTACGCCTCCCTCTCCGGCCAATTCGGTTTTCTGTGTGTGTTGTCTGCGTCGCTGTGACCCTCCTGACCTGTGGGCCAGTGCGGCTTTGGCTTCGCCCCCACCCGCCGGAAGACCGCGACCTGAACATGCGGATGATGAACCGCATCGAGGCCATACCCCTGGAGTCCATGCGCCAGGGAATGCGCTGGGACTGGGAGACCTTCCCCGAATACATGGACAGCCTTGAACGCCAGGTCTCGGCGTCAACGTGGGCTGCGTGGTTCCCTTCTCGCCCCTGCGCGGCTATGTGTTGGGCATGATCCCGGCCCGCGAGCGCACCTCGGTCACCGAGGGCGAGCTCAACCAGATGAAGCAGATCCTTTTCGAGGCCATGCAGGCCGGAGCTTTCGGGATATCTGCAGACAAGAATCTCGAGGACCGGCCCGAGGATGGCAGCTGGCTACCCAGCCACGTCGCCTCCCGTGAGGAATACCTGGCCTTGGCACAGGTTCTCGGACAGTTCGGCGTTGGCCACATCGGTTGGACCATCGGCATCTCCGACGACCGCGCAGCGCAGCGCGACATGCTGGCCGAGATGGTCCGCATGAGTGGCCGACCGCTCCACGTCATCCTCGGCGATGCTGAAGGCTACGAGTGGCTCAAGGAAGTCCGCGCGGAAGGCTTGCCGGTCATCGCTCAGGAGACCGCGGTACCCACCATCTCTGAGTTCAAGCTCTCCGAGTACAACCTGTTCGACTATATGCCCCACTGGGTGCAGCCTCTGGTTGGCTCCAAGGAGGAGCGCGTCGCCAAGCTCTCCGAGGACGGCGTGCGCATTGGCATGAAGCAGGACGTGCTGGACCGTCCCCACCCGCGAACCGACTGGCACCGCGTGCAAGTCGTTGAGGTTGCCCACGAGCGTAACCTGCAGTACGAGGGCCTGAGCATCGCCGACATCGCCGAGGCCGAGGGCAAGCATCCGCTGGACGCCTTTATTGACCTCGCCTTGGACGAGGATCTAGAGACCGAATTCGCCCACCCCGCCGGCGGGCGTGGCGACGACGATGCCCAGTACATCACCAGTCCCTTACTCCCACATCTCCGTGTCGGACGGCGGCGCCCACACCCGGTTCCTGATCAACAGCATCTGGCCGGTCTACTTCCTGGGCCACTGGATCCGCGAAAAGAACATCATGACTCTGGAGCAGGCCCACCAAAAGATGAGCGCCATGCCCGCCAGGGTCGCCGATATGAAGAATCGCGGCACCCTCCGCATCGGAGACTTCGCAGACGTCATGGTCTACGACATGGACGAGCTGGGCTTCCTCTACGACAAGCCCAAGTTTGCCACCGACTTCCCCGGCGGCGAGAAGCGCCTGGTACAGATGCCGACCGGCATCCGCTACATCCTGGTCAACGGCAACGTGACGTTCCAGGAGAACGAGTGCACCGGCGCTCTGCCCGGCACGCTGCTACGCAGCTACGACCAGGTCGGATAACCATTCGGGATCGCCGATACCTCTGGGCCCCGCCAAACTGGCGGGGCCCTTGGTTTCAAGTGTTCCTGTTTATTTTTCCTCCTGACAAAAAGAGAGGTTTAAACTGAGAATGCGCCGATAGTCGTAAGAATCACGCCGGTATTCGCCGAGGTTTGACACCCGTTGGCGGCAAGCCTAAACTGCCTTGAACACACTCGAAAGGACACAAAGTCGACTATCAACCTGGGAGGTTATGGCATGGCAGAATTTGATCTCGTAATACGTGGCGGCACCGTGGTGGATGGCACCGGCCTGCCCCGAATCCGCGCCGACCTTGCCATCAAGGACGGAAGAGTTGCCATGATCAGCGGCCGCATCCATGGCGCCGGGGCCAAGGAATTGGATGCCAGCGGATGCATCGTGGCGCCAGGGGCGATTGACCTGCACACCCACTACGACGCCCAGCTCAACTGGGACCCTTACGCAACTCTGTCGGGCTGGTTCGGTGTGACCTCCCTGACCGTGGGACAGTGCGGGTTCGGCTTCGCGCCGACCCGGCCGGATGACCGCGACCTCAACATGCGGATGATGAACCGCATTGAGGCCATTCCTCTGGAGTCAATGCGCCAGGGCATGCGCTGGGACTGGGAAACCTTCCCGGAATACATGGACAGCCTTGACAAACAGGGCCTTGGCGTCAACGTGGGCTGCCTGGTTCCATTCTCCCCACTCCGCGGCTATGTCCTGGGGATGATCCCGGCCCGTGAGCGGACCTCCGTCACCGAGGCCGAGCTCAACCAGATGAAGCAGATTCTCTTTGACTCTATGAAAGCAGGCGCTTTCGGCATCTCCGCTGATAAGAACTTGGAAGACCGCCCCGAGGACGGCAGTTGGCTGCCCAGCCACGTGGCCTCCCGCGAGGAGTTCCTTGCATTGTCCCAGGTAATGTCCCAGTTCGGCGTTGGGCATTTGGGCTGGACCATCGGTATATCCGATGACCGCGCTGGACAGCGCGACATGCTCGCCGAGATGGTGCGGATGAGCGGCCGCCCGTTGCACGTGGTGCTGGGCGACGACGAGGGCTACGACTGGCTGGAGCAGGTTCGCGCCGAGGGGCTGCCTGTGGTGGCACAGCTTGGCCCCGTCCCGACTATTTCAGAGTTCAAGCTCTCCGAGTACAACCTGTTCGACTACATGTCCCACTGGGTGCAGCCCTTGGTCGGTACCAAGGAGGAGCGTATTGCCAAGCTTTCCGAGGATGGCGTCCGCATTGGCATGAAGCAGGACGTTATCGATCGCCCGCATCCCAGGACCGACTGGACGAGGCTCCAGGTCGTCGAGGTTGCTCACGAGCGCAACCTCCAGTACGAAGGCCTGAGCATCGCCGACATCGCCGAGGCCGAGGGCAAGCATCCGCTGGACGCTTTCTTGGACATCGCCCTTGATGAGGATCTGGAGACCGAATTCGCCCATCCTTCCAATAACCGGGGCGATGACGTCACGGCGGAAAGGTTGAAGAATCCGTTCGTTCACATCTCGGTTTCGGATGGCGGCGCCCATACTCGCTTCCTGGTCAACAGCGTCTGGCCGTTTATTTCCTGGGCTACTGGGTTCGCGACCGCGAGCTTATGTCGTTGGAGCAGGCACACTACAAGATGAGCGCTCTGCCCGCCTGGTTCTCCGACATGAAGAACCGGGGAACCCTGCGCATCGGCGACTTCGCCGACATCATGATCTACAACATGGACGAGCTGGGCCTGCTCTACGACAAGCCCCAGTTCGCCACCGACTTCCCCGGCGGCGAGAAGCGGCTGGTCCAGAAGCCCACCGGTATGCGCTACATCTTGGTTAACGGCTCCGTTACGTTCCAGGACAACGAGTGCACCGGCGCCCTGCCCGGCAAGCTGCTCCGCAGCTACGACCAAATCGGCTAGAGTTACCAGGTTTTCCGAACCAATTGGAAGGCCCCGCCAATATTGGCGGGGCCTTCCGGTCTGTCGCGATACCGAACTGGAAGTTACTCGTCAGGAACAAGCGCTACCAGGCGGCCCTCCTGCTGCGTTACGAGAAAGACCTTCATTCGCAGTTCGGGGTGGTTGATGCACCGGCCGTCGCCCTTTTTATACTCGTAGCCGTGAGTGTCGCAGACAAATACATCCTCGCCAACGTCTTCCACCTCACCCCCTTGGTGCGGGCACAGGGTGGACAGCATCCGGTAGCCTTCGTTGGCCTTGACGAGAAAGTAGTTGGCGCTGCCAACCTTGAACAGTTTCGGAAGTTCGGTAAATTCGGCTTCTGCGCCCAAGTCCACCCGCACCTTCTTGGAACGGGCTGACCCACTGATTTGCCGCATCGTGATTCTGTTGACCTGCCTCTCAGTAGCCATCGGCAAACACCCTCGCTGCTGGATTTTGGCCAGTATAGCAGACTCCATTCCGTCCCTGTCTCGACGTTTGGACAACTTCGACATACCAGTAGTCATTGATTAGCAAGACAGGCCGTGGCAAAATCAGAATACAGGAGGCTGATATGACTACTGAAGCCAACTACAAAGATCGATATGGACTTCCTCTTACCACTAACTCACAGACCGCATTGGCCCATTACGCTGAGGGGCTGGAGTTGGCCCTCTCGCAGAACTTCGGGGCCGAGGAGGCGTTTGCCCGCGCTGCTGAGGGGGATGAGGGCTTCGCATTGGCCCACGCCTCACGGTCCTTTATGGAGTTTCTCCGTATAGCCGTGCCCGAGGCGCGCGCCAGCGCAGAGACAGCCGTCAAGCTTTCTTCCGGGCTCAGCCGCCGAGAACGGGGCTACATTGACGTTGTGTCCAAGTTCGTCAACGGTCAGAACCACGAAGCCACTGCCGCCGTGCACGAGCACCTGAAAGAATTTCCGCTCGACTCTATTCTGCTGCGCTTGGCTCAGAGGCTCTATATCCAGGGTTGTGTTGGAATCGGCGCCCCGGACTATCCGGCCCGTTTCTACGCGCTGATGACCGAAGCGGCGCCACATTACGGCGAAGACTGGGCTTTCATGGGGCAGTACGCCTGGGCCCACCACGAGGTCGGCAAAATGGCGGAAGGTATGGACTTGGCCGAGCGTTCGTTGGATCTCAACCCGGCCAACGGAGTGGCCGCCCACTCCGTGGCCCACGTTTTCTACGAAATGAGCCAGGACGACGATGGCTCGGCCTTCCTGGGTAGCTGGCTGGAAGATTATGACCGCCGCTCTACCTACCGGGTCCACCTGTCTTGGCACCAGGCGCTGTTTGAGCTGGCCCTTGGCCGCTACAACCAGGCCTTGGGCTGGTACGATCGCGACATTCGCCCGGCGGTACGGGAGCTCAAGTACGGGGCCCTGGCCGACAGCGCCTCGCTGATCTGGCGGATGAAGATCTACGGCGAAGTCTCTCCGCTTGGCCCCGTGGAGCGAGTTGGTGGAGCTAGCAGCACCCGCCGCTGCTCGCCCTGGTCCCTCCTTCCGTGACGCCCATGCCGCCTTGGCCTTCACTGCTGCCGGCGACGACGAGTCTTTCGGCAAGCTGGTTGATGGACTGCAGGCGATGGCCGACAACGGCGACGCCACTGCCCGTGAGGCCACGCTGCCTTTGGTGAAAGGCATAGGCGCCTTCGGTCAGGGGGAATACGCTGAGGCCGTGCGTCTTATGGAGCCGGTCTACCCGCAGTTGACCCGTGTCGGCGGTAGCCACGCCCAGCGGCTCGTATTCGAGGACACGCTGCTGGAGGCCTACCTCCGGGCAGAAGAATTCGACAAGGCAACCGGCATGTTGCGGGAACGCCTGTCGCGCCGCGAATCGCCACGCGAGCTGTACTGGCTGGCACGCGCTCAGGCAGGCCAAGGCCAGGTGGCCGATGCCCAGGACAGCTTGGCTCACGTTAAGGAAATCTGGACTGACGCCGACACCAACACCCCGGAATACGGTCGACTGACACAGCTGGCCGCCGATTAAGGCGCGATCCACATTGGAGAACTTTCGGGGCGAGCCGCGAGGTTCGCCCCTACCTGTTGTCCCATACCACAGCGCCACTGGAGATGGTCAAAACTGCCTTGATTTTGGGCAAGGCCTCACGGTCAACAGCAGCGGGGTCGGCATCTACGAGCACCATGTCTGCCAGCTTGCCCGGAGCGATCGAGCCCTTGACCTTGGACGTTCCTTCGGCCATCGCCGGCTCGACGGTGTACATCCTGAAGGCGTCGTTAACGCTCACCGTCTGCTCCCCTAGCCCGTCGGAGGACAGCAGCAGGCCTTCCGATGTGCGGCGGGTAACAGCGCTGTAAATCGCAGGCCATGGGTTTGGATCTATGACCGGCGCGTCGGAGCCGAAGGCGGTGGGCACCCCCGAGCGCAACAGCGCCCCCGCCGGGTACAGGTGCGGCAGCAATCTAGGCTCGACGTTATTCCGATAGGACTCGCCGTTGTGGTATAGGAACCCCGGTTGTGTTATCACCGTGGCTCCCGACCGGCGAACGGCGGCGATCAGGGCCGGGGTACCTTCCGCGCAATGCTCTATGCGGTCAATCAGTCCCGAAGCTGGCGAGCCTGTAAGGCGGAGGCAGCGGCCGCGATGGCTTCTTCCTCAATGCAGTGTATGGCCACGGGGAAGCCGCGGTTATGCGCGTCAACTATTGCGGCATCCAGTTCCGGGTACGTCGGTTGAAGCGCCCCTGTTGTCAGTGTTAGCACAATCTTGGCATGGCCCAGCCTGAGCCGCTCAGTCCCGGAGCCGAAGGTCAAACACGCCGCCGCGAATTCGTTCAGCTTCCCAATCCCTGCAAACATGGTGATGCGGGTAGCCAGTACTCCGGATGCCTGTAGGTTGTGAAACGAGGTCCATCGCGCAACGTCGTTGTCTGCGCCCGCGTCCTGAATTGAGGTGATGCCGTAGCTACGAAGCAGCTCGTCAGCGGCGCGCATTCCATCCTCGAATTCGCTTGTACTCCGGACACTGCCCAGACTCTGCCGCAGATGCGAGCGCATCTCGTACAATGTGCCCGTTGGTTCTCCGGTGGCAAGTTCACGCTCGATCACGCCGCCCGGCGGGTCTGGCGTCTCGCGAGTGATGCCCGCCAGCCCCAGTGCGCGGCTGTTGAGGATCGCGGCGTGCCCGCTGCGCTGCTCCAGCCATACCGGATGGTCAGGGGCGGCCATGTCCAGGTCGTGGCGGTTGGGATGGCGGTGCTCAGCAAGCTGCAGGTCGTCGTAGCCGTGGCCGCGGATCCAGCTGCCTGGAGCACGAGTCGCCGCTCTTTCGCAAACAAGGATTTGTATCTCGGCGATGGAGACAGCCCGCTGCGGTGAACAGTCAAGGTCCCTCAGTCTCCGAGCCAGACCTTGAAGGTGGCAGTGGGCGTCGTTGAGGCCCGGTAGAAGTGTCAGACCTTGGCAATCAATGATTTCCGTATTGGTTGAGGCCAACGAACGAATGAACTCGTTACCGCCGACTGCCGCGACGCGCTCACCGACAATGGCGACGGCCTCGACGCAAGGTTGAGACGGCTCCATGGTCAGGATGTTGCCGTTGGCCAGGACGAGGCTGACGTTGCCGGTGGGCATAACTACCGGTCTGAGCTATTGCGGTCAGGGATCGCGAAGATGGAGCTAAGATCCGGAGCCGAGGGCCGAAGGGACGAAGGCGGCGTCATGTTGCTCGTCGGCGTGATAGGAGCTGCGTACCAGCGGCCCCGAAGCGACGTGCTTGAAGCCCAGATCGAGTCCAGCCACTCTCAGCTCTTCGAACTCAGCTGGGGTGTAGAATCGGTCGATGGCGATGTGTTTGGCCGACGGTCGCAGGTACTGCCCTATGGTCAGAAGGTCACAGTCCACGCCCCGCAGGTCGCGCATTGTGTCCAGCACCTCGTCGGCCGTCTCGCCCATGCCGACTATGATGCCCGATTTGGTGACGGTGGCCGGATCGATTTCCTTTGCCTTGGCGAGAAGGTCCAGGGAAAGCCTGTATTTGCCCTTGGGTCGGACCCGAGGGAATACTCGCACGGTTGACTCAATGTTGTGGTTCAGCACCGCCGGTCCCGCCTCGATAACGCGGCGCAGCGCATCCCAGTTGCCGGCAAAGTCGGGAATCAGCACCTCGATGCGACACTCCGGCAACACTTCGCGGATGCGATTGATGCAAGCCGCAAAGATATAGGCGCCGCCATCAGGGAGGTCATCGCGGTTAACGGAAGTAATCACGCAGTATCGGAGGCCCATGGCCTTGACTGTTTCCGCCAGCCTCTTCGGCTCTTTCAGGTCGATGCCTACCGGGCGTCCGGTCGTGACAGCGCAGTAGTGGCAACGCCGTGTGCAGATGTCACCCAAGATCATGAAGGTGGCCGTGCCTCGCCCCCAGCACTCGCCGATATTGGGGCAGTGTGCCTCCTCGCAGACCGTGTGCAACTCTTGGCTGCGCATCAGTTCCTTGAGCTGCATGTACCTCGGGCTGCCCGGCATTTGCACCTTCAGCCACTCGGGCAGGCGAGGGCGCGACTCAAGAGTCTTCTTCGGCTGGGTCATCAAGTTCCTCGGCACCTGTCGTATGTGTCTACCAGGCCATTATAACAATTGAGCGATGAACCGGAGTCACATCAGTTGTACCACGCGGGGAGACACGCGGCATTTTTCTGCGGCGATGATGGCGTCGATGTCTGCGGCTGCCTGTTCCAGGTCTCCGTCAGGATTGACGACCCGATAGTCGAAGTGATGGACCTGCGCTAGTTCCTCTTCCGCCGTAAGAAGGCGGCGCTCCAGTTCCGCGTCGGACTCGGTCATACGGCCCCTTAGTCGTAGGTGCAGATCCTCCAGGGACGGCGGTATCAGGAATATTAGCAGCGCCTCCGGGGCCATCTGCCGAATTGTCGCAGCTCCCTGTACGTCGAGCTTCAGAAACACGTCCTTGCCGGAGCGCAGCGCGTCCCGTGCCTGGCTCCTGGGGACGCCGTACCAACGCCCGTATACCTCCGCGCATTCCAGGAACTCGTCCCGCTCCCGCATCCTGGCGAACGTGTCTGTATCAATGAAGATGTAGTCCTCGCCGTCTCTCTCTCCGGGGCGCATCTCCCGAGTGGTTGCGGTAACCGCGAAGTGCCAGGGGCGGTCTAGCCTGCGCAGTTCATTCAACACCGCATCCTTGCCCACTCCCGACGGTCCAGACAGCACCACCAGCAACGGGGGGGAAGGACTGGCCTCGGGAATAAGTGGCATAACAATCAGCTATTCCCTGACGTGTTTCGGCGCGAGCGTTTGAATGTCCTCCCAGAAACTGGGGTAGGACACGGAAGCGTCGGAAGCGCCATGCACTTCGATTTCTCCGTCGGCCACCAGGCCGCAAACGGCCATTGCCATGGCCAGCCGGTGGTCGCCGTGGGAATGGCAGACCGCACCCGTGAGCCCGCCGGTGCCACGTATTACCATCCCGTCCTCCCGCGCCTCTATGTCTGCCCCCAACCGGGATAACTCCTCTACGGTCGTGGCGATGCGGTCCGATTCCTTGACACGCAATTCGGCTGCGTCCCGTATGACCGTTTCCCCGCTGGCGAAGCAGGCGGCCACAGCCAGGATCGGAATCTCGTCGAGGATGCGGGGAATCATGTCTCCCCCAATTTCCGTGCCTCGCAGGTCCGCCGGAGTGACCAGCAGGTCTGCCACTGGCTCGCCCCCCTCGGTGCGTTCGTTCAGCAGTTGCAGGTTGTCACCTGCCCCCATGGCCTGCAACGCGTCGATGATGCCCGTTCGGCTGGGGTTCAGACCAACTCCCTGGACGACCACCCGCGAGTCGGGATGGCAAAGTCCCGCGACGATCCAGAACGCCGCCGAGCTGATGTCGCCTGGTACCGCGATGTCCACGGCCTGCAGGTATCCCGGTTTGACGTATAGGTCCAGACCATCCTCCTCAACCGTGGCGCCCATGGAAGATACCATTCGTTCGGTGTGGTCGCGGGAGAGGGCCGGCTGGCGGATCACGGTATCCGCATCCGCTGATAGTCCCGCCAGCATGATGCAGGACTTTACCTGGGGCTCGCTACCGGAAGGTCGTAATCGATTCCTCTCAGGGAGCCACCCTGAATCACAAGGGGCGCCAATGAACCGTTTTGGCGGCCCAAGACCTGCGCTCCCATCTGTTGCAGAGGCTCAACAATCCTCCGCATCGGACGCGAACGCAGCGATGCGTCGCCGGTGAGGACCGAAAGGAAAGGCTGGGCTGCAAGCAAACCGGAAAGCAGGCGCATGGAGGTGCCGCTGTTGCCAGCGTCCAGGATGTCTAACGGTTCCTGCAACACCGGCCCGCGGCCAACGATGGTGTATTCCCCCGGGATGCTGCCCTGGGTGATTTCCGCTCCCATTCGTCTCAGGCAGTCCAAGGTGGACATTACGTCCTCGCCGTTGGACAGCCCTGTAATGCGCGCGGAACCGTGGGCCATGGCGTTGAGAATGAGAGATCGATGCGAAATGGACTTGTCGCCTGGCACGGCCAGCTCGCCGCCCAGTTTGGCTGGCCTGCTCACCCAACGAACCGAAGTTTCAGCCGACATTTCCTTCCCAAATATGCAATTGTCCCGTCACTGGATAGGAACTGGACGAGGTTTGGACCCAATCAAGGAGGAGAGTCCGATCGCTCCACTTTTCTGTCCGCTAATCCCTGCGACGCTTGTTCCGGTCGCCGTCTTTTTCGCCCCGGAAAAAGCGGCGCTGAGCCTCCATGCCCTTGCGTCCCAGGAGCATTTCCCCCATGGAATCAGCAAACGTAGGAATCTCCGGCGCATTGCGTTGCGCCCGGCTTCCCGGCGTCACTGATCCCGACAGCCAGCGACCCCGCTCCTCGTGTGCCTTCTCAAACAACTCCTCGACCGCCGCCTGGTCCGGGCCCTCCTCGTCCTTGAGCAGGTTGCGAATTTCGTATAACTCCCGGATGAATGAGTCGATCCAACTTACTATAGGCTCCCGATTGGTGATGGAGATGTCGCGGTGCATGGTCGTGTCCCCGGATGCCAGCCTCGAGAGGTCCCTGAAGCCGGAGGAGGCCAGCTGAGCAATGTCGTCCCAATTGGCGCTCTTGGAAACTGTCTGCATCAGGGCCACCGACATCATGAACGGCAGATGACTGACCGCAGCCACGAAGCTGTCGTGCTCCTCTGCGCTGATGAAGAACGGCTTGGCGCCAATGGCTTCGGCTATCGTTGTGACGGTAGACACGGCCTGCTCACGCGCGTCTGCGCTGGGGACGATGCAGTAAGGCTTGCCGGTGAACAAGTCCGCTGTGGCATTTTCCGGCCCGGGGGTTTCCCTCCCTGCCATTGGATGTCCTCCGACGAACTGGGAGCGGTCAGGCAGTACCTCTGCGGCCCACTGAACAACGGTTCTCTTGGAGCTCCCGACGTCGGTTATAACCGCGTTCTCCGGTAGCTCCCGGCCGATGGTTTCCATAAGGTCGCGCATCGCCATTACCGGGGTGGCCAGAACTACCACATCTGCGCCGTCGATGGCGGCCATCAGGCGGTTTTCCACCTTGTGGAAGGCTCCCCGCTTTTGGGCGCCTCCTCGGGCGCCGCCGTCGTAGTCGGTTCCCACCAACTCCAGGTTACGCAGATCCGACTGGCCGAGCGCCATCCCCAACGACGTACCAATCAAGCCTGTTCCGATGATTGTAATTTTGGCCAAGAGGGCCTCCTCCTGAGCTTGTCGAAGGGCCCATCCCTAAAATCCAGACCCCGGACGGAGCGGCATTAAAGAATGCATTCTACAACATCCCGCACCCACACACACTTCAGGGCACGGATCCCAGGCAATCGCGTCTTGATTTCAGCAGCTCAGCAGGTTGGGGCGGAGGAGCTGGCATTGCCGGTTTGCAGGGGCTGTTTTTTTGTTATTCCACTCATTTCCGATCATTTCCGCCATTATTCTGTCATTCCAGCAATTCCGGGCTGGCCACTGGCTCAAAGCAGGCCCACCGGGATGTCAGTCGGGTTCCGTTTGCCAACTGTTATATACATAGAACATATGTTAAATAAGAGGTGCAGGCTTGGCAAGGGCGATGACAGCGAAATGAGATTGCAGGCTTGAAGACGCGATGCCCTGGCACGGATCCCAGCCCGTCTCAGAGCGTCGCGACCGCAGCCTCGGCGATATCGGTAGTTACGACTTTATCGTAAGGCTGTCGCTCGCGGCACATACCGGCTGCCAGCAGAATGTCGTGCAGGCTTTCGTATTCCGGTCTGGCCAGCACCGGGCTTACCGGCCACTGTTCTTGTTCCTGGTACCTGGTAATGGAAGCCGACAGCACATCCTGCGAGGTGTCGGGAAAGTATTCGGCAACGGTTTCTGCGACCTCGGCAGGCTCGGCGGACGATAGCCAGTGCAGAGCCCGCGCAAACCCCACGGTGAAGCGGGATGCAGTGTCAGCCCCGTTCATGCAGGAAGCGATGCGTGGCGGCGAATGAGCTGTAGGCTAGATGGCCGTTCTCAGGGCCCAGGGCCGTCAGTAGGTGTCCGGCGCCGTCGGCTATCAGCTGCTGTACTACAGGCTCCGCGACGTGCACGAATTCCGCCTCTCCGGCTCGGAAGGCGGCCACAGCGTCGGGCAGCGACAGGCCTGTGAGCATGTCGAGGTCCGACGGCTCGAGTCCATGGCGACGAAGGGCGTATTGGAACGACGCCCACGGCATGGGGGAAAAGCCGACAGGTATGACCTTGGCTCCTCGCAGGGACTCCCAGTCGAAAGTCTCCTGCGGCTGTCGTCCCAGAATGAAGAACCCGTCTCGGGAATTTATCTTGGCGAAGTGGAGCGGCACCGTTTCCGCCCCCCAGTCAGAAGCGATGATGGAACGCATGATGCCGCTTTGCACGATGTCGGCGGCGCCATGATGCAGAGCGCTGAGAGGATGGGAAAACTGCGATGGACAGGTGCTGAACTCAACGTCCAGCCCTTCCCCGGTCGAGGAATCCCCCTGCCACCGAAACATAGATGGGCGTGTAGAAAATCGATCGCCAAGTCTCCATCAGTCGCAACGGTTGTCGTCCGCCGGTAGTCA